TGGCCATTACTCATTGCTCTCATCATCTCCCCCCCTCTGTAGAATGTCTATGTCACTATGTGTTTGTATGTGTGAGGTGTTTTTATTTTAAATGTTAGAGTTTTTCTTCTCAGCCAAGAACAAAAAGTTTAATTGGAATTTTTTTGCCTCCAATTCCTATGTGTCCAGTTTCACTACTTTTTGTCTGTCTAAACAGATCTCACTTGTAAATGAGTCTTCGAGGCTCAATGTGACTTATCTGTCTAAATAAAGGTTGAATGAATGAATGAAAAAATTGGATCCATACAGGACCAACGGCAAGTCAGCTGTAGTTGGTCTGTCATGCCGGGCCCATTGGTCCACTCGAAGCAGGAGATTATCTGGCCTGAAATCCTTCGGCTCTATTCATGTGTGGGGGTCCAGAACTCTGTGGACCTGACGTTTATCTCTCCCCATCCTCATCATTATCAGGACTTTATCTCTTTGGAGTCGTTGATCTTGTTAATGCATCTGGATTTGTCCATCCTTACCAACTTCATTTTTTGGGGGTTCTAAGTAACCATGTCTTTATAAATTCTTCTTGACATGGATTGATTTTGGGGCCCAAGTGCCACACTAACTCCTGGAATTATACATCTGCTATAAAAAAAATTAAAAAAACACCAGGAAATGTTTAATAGTAATGTTTTTACTGTTGTCCGGGATTCAACCTAATCGTGGACCTCCCGTACATTGCAGCACACCAAAAGAGTTTTAAAAGAAGTTGGGATTATACTTTTTGCACATTAATGCATGTAGCCGCCATCATAAAACTGACATGTTGAGGATTTGGGCCTGTTCAACTGGTGCTGATGTAAATGTTATCTCCGAAACTTGGTTATCCAAATCAATTTTGGATAAAGATGTGTCAATTGATGGATTTAAAATCTACCATTCTGATAGTCATAGAAATGAAGGTGGTGTTGCAATTTATATCAGATCAAGCCTGAATTTTCACCTGGTGTATGCTAAAACAATCTCTAGCCAGTTTGAAACCCTGGCAATAAACATTAATTTGCATGGAGGACAACCATTAACTTTTGTGTGTTGTTACCTCACCCCACCTTGCCATCCCCCAGAAACTTCTGAGCCCATATTGTCTTTAACAGACTTCCTAACTACTCCAATTGCACATTTTTTCTGAGTCTTATATTGTATTGTATTGGTGTACATATGTTTCTTTTATCTTTTGCATTTTATTTGCACCTTTATGCCAAAGCAAGTTCCTAGTCTGTGAATCCTGTTCATTGACAATGGCAATAATAAATTGAATCTGAATATGAATCTGAACAAATTTATATTTCAGTGAAATTGTCTTTGCACGTGCCTTTAACCTAGACTGGAAAAATCTAGTATCTGAAGAATTTAAAAAATGTTGTTTGTCATTCAATCTCACTCAAATCATTGACACCCCCACTCGCCTAAACAAAAAAAAAATGCCCTGGAAGATTGTCTATTTTAGATCTCTTTTAAACAAATATTACTCATACATTTTCTGGGTAGGGTGTTTTAGAAGATGATATGAGTGACCACTGCATTTTCTATGCCATCAGGGACACTAAACTGTCTTGTACCAAGTCTAGATTAATTCTAAAAAGGAACATGAAGCATTTCAGTGAACAGGCCTTCTTCTGGGACCTGTTTCATTTTGAATGGCAACATATTCTTCTAACTGATGACGTGAACCTTGCTTGGAACTATTTTCAGAACAGTTTCATCTACTCTGTAAATAAGCGTACCCCTTTTCGCCAGTTCAGAATAAAAGGACGAGATAGCCCCTGGTTTACTCCTGGTTTATCTGACCTCCTACACAGGAGAGATCAGCTTTGGGAAACAACAAGACATTCTGGCTCAGACACTGATTGGTTGCATTTTTGACAGCTGCGGAATCATTGTACATCTTCCATCAACACCGCAAAACGTAAATACTTCTTATCTCAGACCTCCAAAGATTTAAATAACCCCAAAAAATTCTGGAAAACTGTCAAATCACTTTCCAGCAGCACCTATTCATCTGACCTGCCACCACAACTACGTGTCTGTTCCCATGTCAAATAAGCATGAGATCCTAAACTGTTTCAATACACTTTTTGTTGCTTGTAGTTCCTTGTTTGCCACAATTACTAATGGAAAATCAGCTACTTCTCCTTTAAGCCAAACATCTATAAATCAAATCTATCTTACAAGTCAATCCTCAGTAAAGCACACCTTTTCATTTTCACTGTTTTCTGTTAGTGAGGTTAACAAGGGGCGGCTGTGGCTGAGTGGTTAGAGCAGTTGTCCTCCAATGCGAGAGTTGGGGGTTCGAACCCCACAGCAGTCACATGCCGAAGTGTCCCTGGGCAAGACACTGAACCCCTCATTGCCTCTGATGTGTGTCCCATCAGTGTATGAATGTGATAAATCACTGATTAGTCTCTTTAGAATGATTTGTTCAATTAGCTTTGTAGAGATCTAGTATAGAGCTGTATGAATGGGTAAATGAGGACACAGATTGTAGTGAAAAGCGCTTTGAGTATCTCAATAAGATAGAAAGGTGCTATATAAGTACAGTCCATTTACCATTTAACAAATTGTTAAAACATT